GCTTCTCATAGTGAGTGAGCAAACTCTGAGTTCTAAAAAATGCTGACGGGATGTATGCTTAGAAACACAGGCTCTGGAGTTGGACCATCTGAGATCAAAATTCAACTCGACCACCTTACTAGCTGTGTGACCATAGGCGAGTTACTTAACCAATTTTAGTCAAATGTAAAATGAGAATGAGAAAGGGCCCACCTTATGGGGTAATTGTGAGAATTTAAAGATAATTTCAGAGAAAGCTCATGGAACAGAGTCTGGCACATAGTAAGTGTTCATTAAATGTTAGTTCTTATGATTTGTGTTGAAACAGAAGCCATCCAGCCAGCCAACATTTATAGACTATACACTGAACTGGGCATGGTGCGAGGGGCTGAAGATAAAGAGATGACCAAGGCAGTGGCCCCAGCCCTCCAGGAGCTCAGGGAGGAAGTAGACTGGGATCAGGGGTGAGAAAGCACTTGACCTAGGCCTCAAAAATAAGTATAAAAGGCAAGAAGAATCAACACCAGTCCTATGGTTCTAGGACTCAGATAGTGGCATCTTTGCTAGGGGGTATCGTGGAGGTTTCTAGAGTGATGGAAGTATTCTGTAGGTTGTTGGGTATTGGTTACATGAGTGTATCCATTTCTCAAAACTTGAGATCTATGCATTTTATTACATGTAAATTATATCTCAATATCTATAAATAAAATGAGTCTATTGAAAAATATCTTTTAAAATGAGTTGGGAGGGGAGGGGCCTTCAGAGGTTTGTAGGCACAGGCACCGTGGCGCCTGTGGTAAACTGCTAACTGCTGAGTTTGGCTGCATTTTAGGGTATGAGATGAAAGATGTAACATCAGGTGGTTAGAGCCTTATATGACCTACAGAGTTGCCCAGACATGATCCAGACACGGGCACCACTGAAGAGTTTCGGCCTCCTCCCGGTCGCCGAGACTGTCCTGCCTTGGAGGCTAGGGGTCCATCACTCTGGTTGAGTAGAGAGAAGCAGGTCTCCCATACTCCCATCCCTCAAAACTCAGCCCAGGGGTGGGGGCGGGAGAGAGGGAGGGAGGGAGGGAGGGAGAGAGCGAGAGAAGAGGAGGAAGAACCAGACAGGAATAGTGTCTTTATCAAAGCCAGCTGCACGCAGTGCCCTAAAGGCTAACCAGGGAAAACGTCATTTCCTACACCCAGGCTGAATGAACTCAGCCAACTTCCCCTGCCCAGGAGCAGGGGGGGGCACCCAGAGTTTGGTCACAACCCGACAGGAAAGCGGCCCCCAGGGACTGTCTACTTCGTGTCTGCAGGCGGTGATCGCTCCCCCCTCTTTCTGCCCTCTCAGGATACGTGCTGCCCTTGCCGTTTTGATGTTTCTAAATCTTGAAGTGGCATCCAGTTGTGTACCCCGCAAGCCTAAGTACCTCTGCCTGTGTGTCGGGAATTCCTAAATCTTGCCACGCCTTTGCTGGACCCCCCAAATTAAAGCAGGCTCTTCGTAGCTGTTTCTCCCACTTGAAGCATGCTCCCTCCTGTGGGTCCAGCAGAGCCCGGCTGTCTTCCACGGCATTCAAACCCTCTCCATCCTTTTTCAACACCTCCGACCCTGCTGATCTCTCCTTTCCCCCGGACATCTGCTGCAGTGCCAGGTGATGGATGGTCCCCCGCCCCGTGACTTCTGTTTCCTCAGCTGGATTATAAAGGTCAATAAAGGCAAAGAAGAGCTTCAAAGACTAGCGTTTCCCTACCAAGCTGGGAACATAGTAAATTCTTAATAAATATTTATCGGTAGGTTGATGATTGAATTGAGAGGATCTAGACCACTGTGGAGATCGTCTGTGTCAAATCAGAAATTGAGGAAGCATTTTCATTTTTTTTCTCACCATTTTCAGCAAAGGTGCCATCTAGACTTCTGCCTTTGTGGAAAGGCTGATGCTTAGGGTCACAGGGGCTGAAGGAGATGGACTGCAGTGTGGCAGGGTCATTGTGGGATGTTCAATTCTGATCCCAGATGACCCGGCCACAGAGCGGTGTCCCCACACCCTCCATTAAAGAGAACACAGCTGCCCTGTGCCGGGAACGCCAGCCGGTGTGAAAGGAGGTCAGGCTCTCTCAAAGCCAGTGCAAAGTCACAGGTGAGCTCAAGTTGCTGGATTTACAGCCACTGTTGAGTCATTAATGAAATTGCAGTTACGAACTGACCTACCTGCTGGGAAGAGAATTTGGGATATATTATGAACTTCAAAAAGTTTCTGCCAGGAAACTGAAGAGGTAACCATGGCAACCGGGAAAGAGGCTGAACTCAGAGAGGACTGTTCTTCCCGAACAGGGAGCTTCTGCTCACAGATTGGATCTGCGGGGCTGCACCTCGAGCATCTTTCTCTTTATCTCTTTTGCTTTCTCTGTCGAGGGGGAGAAAGCGCTCGCTCGGGAATCTGGAGATCCAGGGCCCGGGTCTCAGCTGCTTTCAGTTCCGGAGCACGTAACCCAGGGCACCTCAGGTCTGCCGTTCTGTTGTCTGCAGAAAAGAAATGAGAGGAAACCTCCTCTGGCCTAGTCACAGGGAAGCAGAAAGAGCATGAGGGAT